TTTTGAAGCAGTTTTATTACCCCTTGTAAGCCATTTGCGAGTGAAAGTACCTTCAAAATCGATATAGTCGTTTCAGAGATTAGCAAGAACAAACAGACAGACGGATAAATAAACAAAACATTGTTTTTAAATTTAAACACTAAACGAAATTATCTATTATAGATTATATATAGGACATAACCCGGATAGATGCGTCACTTTTTGTAATTCCCTCCTAATTTTTTAAATATTACATTTATACGAACAATTTCTGTGTATGTAACTAGTTTAATCATTTATGTTGGATTACTATTTGTTGTTTTTGACCTATCAATTACAGATTTTGCAGAATTTGGCTTTTTGTGGAAACCTTTTTTTAAGGATCAATGCCTATCTTTATGGATAGTTGCCCCACCATGAAAATGCTAAGACGGATCGATTGATATTATAACTTTATATATATATACATATAATATATAACTGTGTAAAAAAAACGTAACCAAAGATGAGATCGTCCTACTCCTCAAACAGCAATGGCTTCCAAGAGACATCCCTAGAACAATGAAAAGCTTATTTAAAAATACTTTTATTGTTATCATTTTAAATAACTTTATAACAAAAAACAAATCAAATTTTTAAAGTATTTGTTCAACAAATATATACATATATAGCTTCTTAATTGCTATTATGACATATTAAAGTTACATAATTATATTTATTATTTAAATTAAAATAGATCGGATTTCGTTCAATAAATAAATTAATTGAATTAGTGCTAATTGGTGGTTTGTATTCACACATTTAAACTTAAAAATGTAAAGTAATAATAAAATTATTTAAAAGAGCAACACGCAAGTTTCTTGCTCGTTCTTCTTGTGATGAGACAGCTTTCCTATTGAGCGGTAGATTAAAAAAATGTAATGACTATTCAAAAGTGCTTCAATGTACCTAAGTTTATTTGTATTTTCTATTCTATTCTATTCTAAAACTGTATCCAGGGATAGATGCACCTCAGCTCACCTATACCTCGAAAATCCAGGGCAACTATCCTGAGTGATAGGGACAGATGTCCAAGTATTTTTTAAATAAACTAAAGTGAAAAGAGCTACCATTTACATCTAAATGCACACTTAATGAGCCAATATATCGACGTAATAAATTAGTGACCTAAAAAAATTTGTGCTGGTTGGTACTTTGTATTCACACGTTTCGACTTGTAAATTTAAACTTGCAAGGATTATTTAAAAGAGCAACACACAAGTTTCTCGCTCGTTCTTCTTGTGATGGAGCTTTCCGAACGAGCGGTAGATAAAAAAAATGTTATGACTATTCAAAAGTGGTTAAATTAAGTTTATTTGAATAAATGATTTTCTATTCTATTTTAAAATAGAAAATATAACAGAATTTAATGCTATTTATAAAGTTACACCACGGCAAATACTGATATTTAAATCTTTTACGTGTTTCTGAAATTCGCGGCGAAGATGTGTACAGGCACAAACGAAATACATCTCATTTAACTACTGTCCGTGGATAATGACGACCTCGGTGGTCTAGCGGTCTGGCACACCGATTTACGACCGATGGTCGCGGGTTCGATTCCTCGCACGGTACAAACATTTGTATTCATGAGTATGATTGTTTGTATCGGTCTGGGTGTTTTCTATGTATAATTATATTTGAAAAAAAAATCTATGTATTTGTAACAGTTATCTAGTACCCATAACACAAGCTTTAGCTAGCTTAACTTGGGATTAGATAGCGTTGTGTGAATTGTCCTGTGATTATTTTTTTTTTTTTTCCAAAAATTCTCATCTCCCCTCTTAAGGAGAGGAGATGGCAACATACCCCCGGCAGAAGCACAGATTATTATTATTATTATTATTATAATTAAGATGCGGGGTGAGTTTGGCTCCTACATATACTAGTAGGTAACTCTTAGTCACGAGTTTCGGAAGTATGGTTTCTTGAGCATGAGGCACCTATCCCAATACAGCATCTATCCAGATTTACCTACATTATTTATTTATTTCTTTATGTACCTAAGTACCTGCCTACAAATACAAATGTATATACGACGACCTCGGTGGTCTAGCGGTCTAGCACACCGCTTTACGACCGATGGTCGCGGGTTCGATTCCTCGCACGACACAAATTTTTGTATTCATGAGTATGATTATTTGTATCGGTCTGGGTGTTTTCTATGTATAATATGTATGTATTTACAAAAAAAAAATCTATGTATATGTATCAGCTATCTAGTACTCATAACCCAAGCTTTAGCTAGCCTAAATTGGGTCTAGATGGCGCTGTGCGAATTATCCTGAGATTTTTATTATTATTATATAATATATTTGTACTTAATTTTGGTCAACTTTTATTATTATTATACTGTTATATTAATATATTGACATAAATCAATATTGTTATATGGGACCTGACCAAAATAGATTTACTGATTTATTTAAGTCAAACAGAAATGTAAAACGTTAATATAATAAGAGCACAGACTTTATGTCTGTGGAAAGAAAGAAATAAAAAAAAGTACCTGGCTAATATATTAACAATTCTAGTAATCTATCATATTTATTGGCAGGTAGCTGATGTAATAAGGAGTAACTTTGGCTACCTTCATCATCTGCTTCATCCTTATCCCATTTATTTGGGGTCGGCGTAATATGTTTTTCGTTTCCATTCATCCCTGTTCGCAGTCATCGCGTTATTTACTTCCTTTCTTACCATATCATCTTTCACACAGTAACTTTGGCTACCTTCATCTTAGAAAAATAAAGTTAAATTCCACGCGGACGAAGTCGCGTGTATAGCTAGTTATGTATAAAGAAGAAGATAATAATAATACTGAACGCAGTTACGTTTCCTGCAACTCACACTTGACTATTCGGGAATCGATTAAAAAAAACGGATAAGTACGCGCGTGCCTCAGCTACCGATAACACTTTATTAAATAACGATAAACCGTTATTATTAACCGTTTTAACGTTATCGCATGGGAAATTTAACTGCGATAAATTGTTAAGTGGCTGAAATTATTTTAATTAAATCGCGAACCAATATATAGATATCAGTTTGGTATTCTGTAAGGGTTTGATCGACTTACTTCACTCATCACTTCACTCAATGTATAATAACTCAGTAGGAACTTTATATTTGACAAGTGATACGAGTGTCACTTGTCAAATATAAAGTTCCTACTGAGTTATTATACTTAGGACAAACTATCCAGATAGGTAGGACTAATTTCGAGAAAGAGGTCAATCGTCGAATCCAACTCGGATGGGCAACGTTCGGGAAGCTCCGATATATCTTTTCGTCCAAATTACCGCAGTGTCTCAAGACGAAGGTTTACGACCAATGTGTGTTGCCAAGAACAAGCTCAGAGTCACTCAAAGGGCAATGGAGAGGGCTATGCTCGGAGTTACTTTGCGTGATCGAATCAGAAATGAGGAGATCCGAAGAAGAACCAGAATGACCGACATAACCCGAAGAATTGCGAAACTGAACGAGCTTTGGGCAGGGCACATAGCTCGTAGGACAGATGGCCGTTGCGGCATTAAAGTCCTCGAGTGGCGACCGATGACCGGAAGATACAGTGGGAAGGCCTCCAACAAGGTGGACCGACGATCTGGTCAAGATCGCAGCGCAGGACCGATCGTCGTGGAGATCTTTGGGCGAGGTCTTCGTACAGCAGTGGACGTCTTCCAGGCTCAGAGATAATGATGATGATGACTGAGCTATTGATTTTGCCTTTCTAAAAATTCACTAGTGCCTGTTTTACCTCCGTCCCACTCTCGAACGTGTGGCGCTGCAGTCGCTATCGAGTTTTGCAGAAACTAATGTACAATCACACCGCGAATTCCACTTCGAATTCGTATGTGACGCTTACAGAATAGCTCTACTGTGGGGATAATTCAAATGAAATCATGTATTTAATCTTAGCAATAAAACTGATTATAATATACATTATGACGGCCCCGGTTGTTCAACGGTTTAACACACCACTTTACTGTCGATGGTCGCGGGTTCCTTACTCGGTACAGACATTTGCGTTAATATAGATTATGACAGCCCCGGTGGTTTAGCGATTGAACACACCACTTTACTGTCGATGGTCGCGGGTTCCTTACTCGGTACAGACATTTGCGTTAATGAGTATGATTTTTTGTATCTGTCTGAGTGTTTTCTATGTATTTAAAAAAAATATCTATGTATTTATATCAGTAGTCTACTACGCAGAGGAAGACCGAAAAAGAGATGGATGGACTGTGTGAAAGATGATATGGTGAGGAAGGGAGTAAATAACGAGATGACTGTGAACAGGGATGAATGGAAGAGAAAAACATATTACGACGACCACAAATAAATGGGATAAGGAAGATGTATATAGGAGTAGATGGAGCTGTATGTGTTATCCGGAGAAATTATTATTAAACTAGTAACTTGTCCCGGCTTCGCCCGAGTGTACATGTATTATATATATAAAACTTCCTCTAGAATCACTCTATCTATTAATTAGACCGCGTGGTTGACCTCCACACGATTCCCCCTGGTAACCATCGTGATAAATTCCTGCTGAATTTGTCCCTAACTGACCTGACTTCATGTTCATCTTATCATCCTCCACTGGTGCCCCGCCAGTAAACCGCTAGCACAGGCGGGTGCATAATTCCATTACCATCCATAAAAAAAACTGACCTGTTCATCTCAGCATCCAACTATATAGGCTAGGTTAAATTTGGAAAATCGTTAGTCTTACGCGTTTCAGAACCTTAAGAAACCTTAATAGTTTTATAATAATACTAACTCTCCCCACGGTTTCACCCGCGTCAAATTTGTAGCCTATATGTTATTCTGATGTATACGCTATATTACTGTAAACTTTCAACAAAATCCGTTTCGTATTTTCAGCATGAAAGAGCAACAAACATCCATACTCACAAACTTTCGCATTTGTAATACCTACTAATGAAATACATTTTCCTTCACAGGACCATCATGTAAACATGTCATCACAAATCCTCACGCACACCATGTACCGTCGCAGTTCAAACGAGGAGAAACCATTAGAAATCGATCAGGACTCGAACCCGGACCCCAGTAGATCGAACAGTCCAAAAAACATGAAGTATTTCAAGCAATTAGATGAGGAAAAGACTATTCTAAACCAGGGAAAAAAGTCGTTTTGTATAGACGCCTTACTTTCCCGCCATATTGAACCAGAGACAACATTGCAAGAGAGAATGTCACAGAATAAATATATGTCGCTAATACAGAATAAAAACTTCATCGCGAGATACCAAAATCAGAACTACGATACGCAAATAGAGCAGAATACCATAGAGAAGTACCAGAATAGAGCGGATGAGCAGAGTTTTGACCATAGAGCAGAGACGGACAGTCCTAGATCCGGGCAGAGTTCTCCTAGAAGTGCTTCCCCAGGGTCTGATGATGGGAATAGATCGGGCAGTTACAGCCCGCCAATTTCTCCCGGAGTTGAGGGGGGGAACGAGGAGTTTGAGAGTTATAGACCTGGTGAGTACATCTACTTTCTCTTTCTTCTTCTTTTTTATTGAAATTCAAAATATCTTTATTCATGTAGGTCTATTACAGACTCTTATTATTTGTTATGAGTATAGATGAGAAGAACTGACAAGAAACTCAGCTCGTGTTCTTTTCAAATAAATGTTGTACATGTTTACAATTATACAGATTAATTTTTAAATTCGAATTTGGGAGAATAGTGTGACATATGTTAATACAAAAGCAAATAGTATAATGAGTGTTCGCAACTCGAACAGACCAGTCCCCACAAGCAGCACCTGTTCACGAGTATGACGGATAAGCCAGCCATCATTGCACTGGTTGAGTGCAATGATAGCTGGTCAAATCACCTGATGGTAAAGCATAACATTAATACTAGATTTAAAGACTAACCTGCCGTTCATAAGCGTAATTTAAAAAAATGGGTCTTTTATGGGAATAGGTATAAAAAATTACAATAAGATACCAAAGGATATATAGGAATTACCCTTAAATAAATTCAAAACATCTGTTAAATCATATTTACTGAGTAAAGCCTTAAAATCAGTTGAGTTTCTTTCCAGTTCTTATCAATAGAATCTGTATACTGAAATGGGCGGTAGGGAAAAATATTAATACAAAAATCTTGAAGTTCATAAGCGGGTAAAATGTCCTACATGAATAAATGATTTTTGATTTCATTTCACAAGTTGTAATCGTCGCCTATATGCATATCACGTTATCATGTGATACCCGTGATACCACTCATGCGTTGTCATTCCAGGCGTCTAAGATATCATGCCTCAGCTAGTTTGCCATTCAAAATACATAAAAAATATATTAATTTATCTAGAAGACTAAGATCGCCCCCTCCGATTGATCTCTCGTCTAATCAAACGGGGATCGATATTACGACGGCCTGAGCCGAGGTTGCTCCGAGGAGCCCCTAGCGGTGCCCTCAGACTAAAGTCGTATCCGTCAGGCGGAAATTGGCCTTCAGCCGCTCCATAAGTTCTTCCGCGGGTTTGGAGTGATCTGCACTCGCCCCATATCGTCCAGTGAAGCTGTAAAGGCCAGCTGCGGCCGGCATTAGAATAGTCAAAAGAAAACTAAGATCTCATTCCTCATACCGTCAGCTAGTTTTCCATTCAAAATACATATGAAATATATTAATTTATTAATTTACCTATCATCTTTCCCAGGTATCATACCCAAGCCGGGTCTTTTGCCTCAAAACCCTGCTCTCGTAGCAGCGCAATCTGCAGCACTCTTCAACTACCCTCAGCTGCAGCCGCCTCCTGGAGCTCCCATGCCGTCCGCGTTCCACCACCCTGGAGATAGGGTCCTGCATCACATGCAGCTTGAATGGCTGGCCAGGACTGGAATGTTTTATCATAGAATACCGGAATTGGGGGGTAAGTTTTCTTTCTTTCATCATAATCTTCTTTTTATCTAATTATATAAAAATAGCCCTAAGCCTAAGCCCATCGTTTCACCCGTGTAAGTTTATAGTCTACTAGCAGTGCCCCCGGTTTCATTCGTGTTAAATTTCAATAAAAAATATAGCCTACATGTTACTCTGATGTATCTATATTATTGTAAAGTTTCATCAAAATCCGTTTAGTAGTTTTTGCGTGAAAGAGTAACAAACATCTATCTATACTCACAAACTTTCGCTTTTGTAATATTAATAAGTTTAAGATTATTATTCTGATGTATCATCTATATTGTTTTTAAAGTTGCATCAAAATCCGTTCAGTAGTTTTTGCGTGAAAGAGTAACAAACATCCATCCATACTTACAAAGTTTCGCGATTATGTTATCAGCACAGATAACATAATTTAGTAATTTAGTTAGGTCACAGAAGACCGAAGAGCTGGCAGCTACCTCGAACAAAGAATTAGTCTAGCAATTCAAAGGGGAAACGCTGCCAGTATCTTCGGAACCTTGCCTAAAGAGACTCCTTTTAATAATATATTTTAGTTATTTATATATTAATTAAATTAATTACATAATATTAGTAAGATTCTCGTGTCACAGTGTTTGTAACAATACTCATCCGAAACTACCGTACTAATGGTAGATCAGAAAATTTCATCGATATGTGTGAAACTGTGACTTTTTACAGTCTACCTCTGTATCTGTGAACGGCGATTCATACAGAAATTATAAATATACAACAAAAAAATCTGTAAAACAAAGATTTCTTTTACCAGATTCAAACTCCGAACTTTACAGTCTAATTAAGAGTAATAAATCACCATGCCACAACGCTTTAATAAAAAATAATAGTTAAATTTATAACGCATTCACTTCACAAGTTTATTGATGTGCTAGCTGTACACGCGACTCCGTCCGCGTGGAATTTGTCTAAAATAAAAGAATGTTTCTAAAATAAAAGTAGTCTAAGTTACTCCTTATTAAATCAGCTACCTGCCAAAAAAAGTACCGTAAAAATCGGTCCAGCCATTCAGAGTTTAGCCGGAACAAACAGACAGACAGACAAAAATTGTAAATAGTTATTTTGGTGTATGTACCGTATTTATATTTATATGCATGTAGTTAAAAACGGTTATTTCAATATTACAAACAGACACTCCAATTTTATTTATATGTACAGATAGTGTGAAATATTTTCACCTGTTTACCCGCAGTATAATAGCCGATATTATGCCAAAAAGCTACCCTCACGCTCAGGGGTAGGTGCGAGATAAAGCGACATGTGTTAACTGTAAACAGAGGGTGAGTTGTCAATAGTGGTATAAAGCTGACGTACACTATCAGCAACAGATTGATCTCGCACAAATTTCATCAAAATCGGTTCAGTAATTCACAAAAGCGAAATCACAAAACGGTGATGTAGTTTAATTGGGTTTTTCGTGTGTGTATGTTTTAGTATCGTAAATATTCCAAATCATTACATAGTATAAAACAAAGTCGCTGTCGCTGTCTGTCCGTCCCTATGTATGCTTAAATCTTTAAAACTACGCAACGGATTTTGAAGCGGTTTTTTTAATAGATAGAGTGATTCTAGAGGAAGGTTTATATATATAATACATGTACACCCGGGCAAATCTAGGGCGAGTAGCTAGTATAAAATAAAGTCACTGTCTGTCCGTCCCTATGTATGCTTAAATCTTTAAAACTACACAACGGATTTTGAAGCGGTTTTTTTAATAGATAGAGTGATTCAAGAGAAAAGTTTATATGTATAATCCATGTACACACGTGCGGTATTATAACGTTGTCGCCGACTTCGTCCGCGTGGAATTTAACTTTCATTTTCTAAAATAAAAGTAGCCTAAGTTACTCCTTATTACATCAGCTACCTGCCAATAAAATTCCCGTCAAAATCGGTCCCACCATTTCAGTGATTAGCCGGAAAAAACAGACAGACAGACAAAAATTGTGAAAAATGTTAGTTTGGTATATGTACCGTATTTACATATATTAATATCCATGTAGTAAAAAACGGTTATTTCAATATTACAAACAGACACGCCAATTTTATTTATATGTATATATTACTGAAATACTGCTCAGCGACCGGTATTTCAGTAATATATACATATATTCTTTAATAATACAATCTTAACATTTATTTGAAAAGAATACGAGCTGAGTTTCTTGTCAGTTCTTCTCATCTCGAAATCATTCTGTTGTATTAATCATTTTGTCGGTAGATTTGACATATCATAAGATCTATAATAGAGCTACACGAATAAATTTATTTTGAATTTGAATTTGAATTTAATGTTAAAATTTGTAGTTTAAATTAATTATGGTCGAATATAAACGAATTATATATATAAATGAATAGAAATTTTTGAATATTCAATATATGTAATATTGTTTAGTCAAAAATTCAAAAACAAATTTAACCTTATATTTTGAATTTTTGAATAAACCATATTACTTTGTTTTTTTTAGAATAAATAATATAAAAAAAATACATAATCACTTAACAAAATGGAACTATTTAAATGTGAATAAAAATTATTCAACTATAAAATGAGAGTGCCCATAAAATTAATCTCGATCAATTGCACCCCTATAACGCCATTAACCATCGCCGGATTCGAACCCCTACCCTATAAAATCGAAATGGCTCATAACAGGTACGTGCCATATGCGCGAACGATTATAATTTGTCTAAATTATATTTATGACGAGTAAAGACATTTTGGTTTACATGTAATTTTTTTTAATGAATGATTTCGTGATGGTGCACTCGTCTGCGCCAACGGTATGTGCGGACACCAGTGGAGGATGATAAGATGAGCATGAGGCCTGACCTCATGCTCATCTTATCATCCTCCACAGGTTATCAGTTAGCACATCATGGTAAATTCACCTGAAATTTAACACGATGGTTTCCAGGCGGAACCTTATGGAGGTCAATCTGACATGGTACATTGCTAGCGATAGGGTTATCAATCTACATTACTAACCACCCCTTCCCCCCTTTCCTCGAGAGACTACAGCATGGGATTTATTAAGAAGGGTTTCTTAACTGCAACACAAGTGACACCCCTGGTGTTTCGGGGGTCCATAAGCTACGGTAACAGTTAAGAAATTCACCAGGAATAGACGTGTGAAGGTCAACCTGACCATGGGGTTATTAGTCCACATTACTAACAATCCCCTCCCCCACGAATTGGATATTTATGAATAGAATAGAATAGAATAGAATAGAAAATCATTTATTTATTTAAAAAATACTTGGACATCTGTCACTATCACTCAGGATAGTTGCCCTGGATATAGTTTTAGAATAGAATAGACTAGAATAGAAACTTACATTGAAGCACTTTTGAATAGTCATTACATGTTTTTATTCTACCGCTCATTCGGAAAGCTCATCACAAGAAGAACGAGCAACAAACTTGCGTGTTGCTTTACATTTTTAAGTTTAAGTGTGTGAATACAAACCACCAATTAGCACTAATTCAATTAAATACTCAAATAGAAAAAAATATTGAATATATAACCAACTGGTTAAACAATTAATAAGAGGAAATCAGTTATAGCGATTAGAGCAGACCAGTCATTACAAGCAGCACCCGTTCATGAGTATGACGGATGATCCAGCCATCACTGCGCTCGACCATATTTTAGGGAGCCCAATGACCCGGCCCACCACGCCGCCACAAGTCTAGACGGTTATGAAATAACGGTATTTAGTTTTTTAAATGCATACAGCGACTGATTAACCCATAATCAAATTAACCAAATTCCTACGGCATCACGTCTGGGGGGGCACCAGTCGAAGTACAAAAAAAATCCGTCTTTAGGGCATCACGTCACTAAAAGGCACACCAAAAAGTTAAATTTTTATAATTAAAAGTATTAAAAAATTAAAAAAGGACAAAGATGAGACAAGAAAGGCTCAATAATTTATCGATATTACTAGTTACTCGCCCCGGCTTCGCACGGGTGTACACACATATATATATATATAAACCTTCCTCTTGAATCACTCTATCTGTTAAAGAAACAGCTTCCAAATCCGTTGCATAGTTTTAAAGATTTAAGCATACATAGGGACAGACAGCGCCAGCGATTTGTTTTATACTATGTAAAGATATAACATACACATGTACCTTATTAGGTATGAAATTTAAACGAGTATCAAATAAATTAGTAAATGATAGCAGAATTTCGACCATTGGGTCACCGCTAGTTAATATAGGATTACAATCAGTATGTTTTTTAACATGTTTAGCTGATTTAAACATAATATATTGACAGCAAAACAATATAATATATCATTTTAAGTGATTTACTTCAGATTATGTTATATATATATATTTATACATCGTTCGGTCTTATACTTTTATCATGATAACAAAGACAAGATATAGAATTAAGTGAATAACAAGAGTTAGTATTTGTTTATGTATGTTATGTATCTTATTCAATGTATGCTTAAATTTATTTTTTTCGGACTACTCTAATGCTGATGGCCGTAGCTGGCCTTTACAGCTTCACGGGACGTTAGGAGGCGAGTGCGGATGGCACTCCAAACCAAAGGAAGGACTTATGGAGCGGCTGAAGGCCAACTCCTGCCTGACGGATACGAGTTTAGTCTGAGGGCACCACTAGGGGTTCGAACCTCGGCTCAGGCTGTCGTAATATCGATCCCCGTTTGAATTGGACGGGGGATCGATCGGAGGGGCGCCCGGGGGCGCCGGTGTGGAGCGCCCTGGCGCGCTCAGGCGCCCGGTTGAATGCGCGATATTGTGTGTTTGAGGTCGTCGTCTTCGCCGGCGAGGACGGTGTCGTGTGTGTGTGTGTGTAAAGTTTATTTTGAAGCGTTTTTTTAAATAGCTAGAGCGATTCAAGATGAATTTTTATATATATAATATGTACACCCGTGCAAAGCCGCGTTTTTTAATAGCGTAAATCGCTATTA